GTCTCAAAAAACAAAACAAAACAAAACAAAACAAAACAAAACAAAACACCAATGCTGTCTCTATAGCCAGAGTTGCTCTTGCATCTGGTCCTGATTCCTCTCTGGCATCATCCAAACTTGGGTTTCCAGCCTCTTGTCCATTCTATGAGCTGCTTGTTATCCCCTTAATACATCCCCTTTATTGCTTAAGTAAGCAGTTGTTTCCTCTTACTCGCAAATGAAGAATCTTATCTGAGAAGTATTTCCCTATGAATCTTCGAAGTCTCATTACATTTTACCTTGTTTTGTTGTAATTTGTATATTTGCAAGGTCAGATGCTAACTTTTAAAACTTTGTTCACATATTTTTTCTTCCATGAGACCTTTCTTAATATGTCTACTTGTTAATTTTTCTATTATTCAAACTCTGACTGATGGCATTAATAACCAAGAGTCATTATTTGAATATAGATCTCTCATTTTTCCTTCAAGACTTAAATAGAATCAAACCAACTTTCTGAGTGGAATGATAGCTGGTTGATCTAACTAGTTTCATCAACTAAACTCACCAAAAGGACAGATGCAAACCCCCTACCAGGTAAAGATATTTAAACAAGTAAGAGGTCTTCTCAATATACAACACTTTACGTTCCCAAAAGTAACCAAACAAGGGAGATGAGGATGTCAGATTGGAGGGTGCTTAATGGAGTTTTTCAGGGACTTCCTCTGGGAGGTCAAAGAACTCTCTACATATGTGGCAGCCCAACCTATCTACACACAGGCTTTGCATGAATAATAGATGCTTTATATGCAGGCTTCTTGATTTTGAATTTACTATTTCCATTCTACAGGTAAAAAATAAATGGCTCATGGAACTTCAATGACTTGGAACACTGTATTCTGAATTTATCAAGGTCTCCAAATCCTGAGCTGTTTCCACCTAACATCACTAAAATGTTGATTGAGGATAAGAGGTAGCAGAGGGTAAAAGGAATCATCCTAGGGAGTGTCAAGTGAAGACTGGATTCTAATAGCAGCCCTGCCACTGTCCAGCTAGTTGGGTCACCTTCGGGCAGTCACTCAATTTGTTATAGGCTTTAGTTTTATTATTTGTATTAGGTCGAAGCCTATGGAGATGCTGATTTCATAGGTTACAAAGGTCAGAGTTCAACAATTTAATGAAATGAGGCTGTGGGAGGAGTATGACAACATAATTTGTTGTTGTCTATTATTTTCCATAATTACAATTTGTGCTATGATCTAAATGTGTCCTTCAAAATTCATATGTTGAAATGTAATTGCCAATGTGATGATATGAATTATAATATAAAGAGATAGAGCCTTTAGGAGGAGATTAAGTTATGATTGTAAATGGAATTAGTGACCTTGTAAAAATCTGGAGGGAACTAACTAGGCCCTTTATTGCTCTTCTCCCTTCCAAAATATGAAGACACGGCATTCATCTCTTCTGTCCGTTTGCCCCTTCTGCCATGTGAAGATGCAACATGAATGCCTTACCTCGCCATATCTTGAATCTGTAGGGACCTTGATCTTGGACTTCCTATATCCAGAACTGTAAGAAATAAGTTGTTATAACAAATTATCTGGTCTCACATATTTTATAATAGCAGCAGAAACAGAATAAGACAATTTGATAGCCACCATGGTCTCTATAAAAAAAACTCTGCCATGATTAATGGTGATGACTTTGCAAGGTCAGACAAGTCAGTTGACTCCCTGGAAGCTGCATTACTTAGTATTGACATAGGATGATTCCACCCAACCAGAAGCACAGTATGAGAATTTTCTATTATTTCTATGCACTACATCAGGGTTTTGAAACTTGGATACCAAAGGCAAGGAAACAGTGAATGCTAGAATAGCACACTGAAATCTTACTTCATCTTGTTGTGTGAAAATTTAGAATAAGGATAAACAGGAAGAACCCAAGGAATTGATCTGAATTTCATTTTCCTTTTGCCTTTTATCCCAATTATAGAACCGTTTCCAGGAGTGGTTGTCTCATGGAAATCCCTTGGGTCTTTTGTTGTAATCAGGACACGAAGCCTAATGCTTTAGGATGCTGTAATTATGTTTTCCATCAGTGTTTTCTCAGGGGACTGGCTTCAGAACTCAGAAAATTCTTCTCAAGGAAATGAAATTGTTCTGATTTAAAAGTCATGGTTTCTACTGAAATTTGAGTGGTCTTTAGCCTCAGAAATTTATGAAAGGAAGTGATAGGCAGAATCGAGTAAGACTGAGGGTGAATGAAGTGGGAGATTACCATCTTTTAACTGCTACAAAGGGAGTCCAACTTGACCGTTTCCTATGTGTAGAAAGTTGGAATTATTGGAAAGTTTTCTGCATGGATGGCTATTTAAGACAATGCAATCTAGATGTCAGCTGGGACAAGCTCTAAAGATCTGAAAAAATTATGATGCTGAGTTCTTCATCCATTTCTATTGTGGTGTAACAAACTATATCAAAATGTAGTGACTTAAAACAACCACCATTTTATGTACTCATGATTCTATGGGTCAAGAATTCAAGCAGGCCTTAGTGGTGACATTGGCCAGGTCACTCAGACAACTGAACTAAGTTAGTTTCTTAGAGGTCCAAGAAGCCTTTATTTGCATATTTATACGTTGTATTTTTGTGCTTCTCTTGTATCCTGTTTCTCTTCATATGTGTAGCTTGGGCTTCCTCACAAAATGGCAGTCTCATGGTAGCATGATTTCTAGCATGGTAGCTGGCTTCCAAGGACTGTCTCAATATTGAAGTCAGAAGGCAGGGATCTCTTCAGGCCCAGGCTTAGATGTTATATTGCATCACTTCTGCTTCAGGTCATCCAGCCAGATTCAAGGGTATGGGAAACAGATCTCATCTCCTGATGGCAGAGTGAGAGAGGTAACATTGCAAAAGAGCATGTAGAACGGGAAATATTGTTAGGGCCATCTTGGAAAAGATAATCTACCACACTTGGCTTATGAAAATTTAAAGCCATTCTCATCATTTCTCTGAATCCTTGCTCCAGAGCACCCATGGTGCAATTAAAGGCTTAATTGCAACTGTACAGCAATTCGACTTCTCCCTCTGTTTCCCCAATTTCCTCTATGAGACTGTGGCTGAGACCACTCCCTAGTAAACTTCCTGCACACAATTCTCCACCTCAGATTCTGTCTCTTGGGAATTAATCTAAGAAAAACGTTTTTGTGTACTTTCCTCTAATGAGAGAGCTGCTCTTCTGTCAGAAATATCTTTTTCTCTAGGAAGATTAGCAGTAGGGTAGATATGCAAAGGAGTCATCTTTGAACATCCAAATTAGAGTTTTTGAATTCATATCAGGATAATAATATTGAAATCCAGTATTTGTTGTATGAGAAGAAGAATTGTAAATTTCAAATTTTCTTTGCACATTTTATTTTTATATATGAAGAAACTTGCTGGGTGTGATTCTGGATCTTAGAATTAATTTAAAGCCGTAATGTAGAGAGAATGCAAGGAGGGTTCCATCCACACAGAAAAGAAAGTCTGAAAAGAGTGTAACTCTTTCCTGTACCAAAACCCTGAAAATACGGTTAGAATCCCCAGAAAAAAAAAATGGGACAGTCCCAGAGAGAAGTGGCTTACTCCTTGCTTTTTTAGAAGATTGGAAAGATTTCAAACTGTTTTGTAGATAATTAATTAATAGCGGCTAAGGGGGAGATTTAGGTAAAGAAACAGGCAAAAGTACTGCTCTCTGAGTCTGTCTTTGCCCTCATGCACAATAAAAGGTATCTGCATTTCCTGCAATCTCCTGGAGGGAGTTCAGTGTCAGGCAAGCAGCAAGGCTGATATTGCAAGGGAGTAAAGTGGTAATCATTTCTTTATACATCTGAATAGTGGAGTATAGTCATTCTATTAACAGATGCAATCTCTGCCTCAAGGTTTTTACAGTCTACTTATTCATATTTATAGTTAATTTCAATGTTTTAGGGCAACTGCTAAGCTAGAGATAGCCACTGTGTGCTAGCGGATCATAGAGGAAGAACATTTGTGTATCACTGGGGACCCTTGTTGAAGATAGTAACTAAGTTGAGTCCTGAAAGATGGGTAAAAATACCTAGAGATGGGTTGGTGGTGCAGCAAACCACCATGGCACACATTTATGTATGTATCAAACCTGCACATCTTGCACATGTATCCCAGGACTTAAAATTAAATTAACATTTTTTTAAAAGCTAGAGAAAAAGAGAGAGCAAATCAGGAGCAGTGGCTCATGCCTGTAATCCCAGCACTTTGGGAGGCCATGGTGGGAGGACTAGTTGAGCCCAAGAGTTCAAGTCCAGCCTGGATAACACAGTGAGATTCAATCTCTATAAACAGAAAGAGAGAGAGAAGACATTCGATGCAGAGAAGGCAACTAAACAAAGGCACACTGGGAACAATAAACTAAGAGCCCAAACTGAAGTGGTAGCTTTAGATTTAAAGAAAGAAATAGTTCAATGCAGTATAAATAACATAATTTAGTGTTCTATTGAATTTGGAGAGCAAAAGAGAAAGAGGAGTCTAGGCCAATCCAAGGTTTGTACCCAGTACATACCCAGTTGGGTACATACTGATTTTATTGAGACATGGTAAATTTGTTAGTGTGTGTGTGCATGTGTATGTGTGTGTGTGTGTTAGGATAAGACTAAACAGCTTTAAAAAGATAAAGATAACTAACAATAATCCTGTAGCTTACCTGACATAGACCTTTAAATACAGCCTCTCATACTTTAGTTCAAGGTCAGCGTTCCAGGTTGGTGGGTAGATCTTCTTCTTATTCAGTAACCCAGGTTCCTAGGTTGCTCTTCCATTCCTTGAAGCCTTGTCATCATCTGCATTGAGGCTAAGTTCCCTAGATTCCAGAGGCTGTAAGGGGAAAGGAAAATGAAACACAGAAGAAACAGGTCTGGACATCTTAAGTCACAGAGCTGGAAGTGGCACACATGACATTTGTTCACATTCCTTTGAGGAGAAATTAACGTGGTCACAACTAACGTCAAAAAAGCCTGGGAAATTGTGTATGTCTGGGAACCTCTATGTCAACTTGCAGTTCTGTTTCTTTGAAGGAAGAAGATAGTGGATTTTGGTGGACAGTGAGCAGTCTCTGCTACAGTCAAGTATGTGAAGGTGGCTAATGAGGTATATTTAAGAGCCATTGAACTATAAGAGTAGATGAGATCACAAGACTGTGTGTGCAGATCAGAAAAGAGAACAAAGGAGGAGGCAGCAACATGCAGAAGAGGAGCTCATGAAGGTGATCATGCAGGACTGTACACAGATATGGTAGTACATCCTTCTCTTTCTTACATATTTTGATTGTTTTTGCCTGCCCAGCATCTAAGCCTTCTTCCTATGTTTGAAGAATTCCTTATCTCATAAATTTTGATGTTCAATGGCTCTTAAATATATCTCGTTAGCCATCTTCACTTACTTGACTGTAGCAGAGACTGCTCACTGTCCACCAAAATCCATTATCTTCTTCCTTCATAGAAATAGAATTGCAAATTGACACAGAGGTTCCCAGACCTACACAATTTCCCAGGCTTTTTTGACGTTAGTTGTGACCACGTTAATTTCTCCTCAAAGGAATGTGAACAAATGTCATGTGTGCCACTTCCAGCTCTGTGACTTAAGATGTCCAGACCTGTTTCTTCTGTGTTTCATTTTCTTTCCCCTTGCAATGTCTGAAATCCATGAAACTTAGCCTCAATACAGATGATGAGAAGGCTTTAAGGAATGGAAGAGAGGCTGAAGATGCTACATATTTATTTCCCAGACTTCCTTGTATTGAGAGTGTGAACATGTGACCTAGTTCTGCTAATCAAATGCATCTATAAGTTGCAAGCTAGTAACATAGAGAATGGAAAACTGGAGAACCCTCTGGCAGCAGCGGTGGTTGCCGTGAGATAAAGTTTTCAGGACAGCCATGAGAGTGGTGCTATGGCTGTGTCCAGAATCCAGTACTGGTGATACTGGCAGTACAAACTGAAGTACTTAATGCATATGTCAGTAATGATATTGGTGTTCCAAGTAGTCCATTTGTGCTGGATTATTTTAAGCACTGTTTCTGCCTGCAGAGCTTGTGAGCACCTTTGCCATCTTCCTCTGAGCTTCTTAGATCAATGCAAGATCATTACAATAAATTCTTTTTTTCTTAAAAGACCAGAATCTCTTTCTCCCACAATTAAGAGCTATTGCAATACATCTCTTAAAATGCACACTTTTGGTTTTTCCTTTGTATTTTAAAGGTCTTGTGAGTATGTTTCAAAATATTATCTAAGAAGGAAAGCATCTGCTTTTGAGAAAATGTAGGGGATCTAAATTTCTTGAGAAAAATATGTATGTGCATAATGTAAGTCCTGGAACATAGGTTGTGGTAATAACCTATGGTTTGTTACAAAAACCCCTACCATATTCAGGAAGGCAAATCTAGAAATCATTATGATTTAGAAAATGTTCTAGGTTTTGTTTTCTGAAATACAAGGCTGATGGTTTTCTTAAGTTGCACAAATATTGGTTTAGATCTTAAGAGAAACTGTACATGTGCTTTTAGCAGTGAATAAGTAATGGGAAGTGCAGAAGAAATGTTAAGCTATTAGTTCTTCCTTAATAATGCAAATTTCAAACATGATTTTAAATTTATTTCCCAGGTCAGGTGACTATTTCATAAATTAACCTATTCTCATGGGAATAAGTTAAATGTGTTATAATTTTAGACAGGATTTCTTTATCTGTCTACTTCTGGACTTAGCTGTTGAGATAAACTCTCTAATTAAAAGGACACAGATTTAAATAGAGATAGAAGATAGCTGATAATTTTATAAAAACTAGAAATCTGACAGTATTATTTTGCATTAGAGTTATTTTAAATGATTTATTCTTTAAGGCCCCTACTCCTTACCTTCTCGTAACACTCTTTTCTGCCTCTTTTTACCAAGACCTTCCTAAGTGAACATTGACTTCTCTATTACACATACCCATCACTGGTCCTAAGTGATCCAACTATCTTTTCATTTTTTAAAAAATTAAAATTTTTTTTTTTTTTTTAGAAATGGGGTTTCACCATGTTGCCCAGGCTGGTCTCGAACTGCTGACCTCAGGTGATACACAAGCCTTGGCCTCCCAAAGTGCTGGGATTACAGGCGTGAGCCACCATGCCCAGCTTCCATTTCATTTTTTACTTAAAGAAATAAAATCGGCTGGGCACGGTGGCTCACGCCTATAATCCCAGCACTTTGGGAGGATGAGGTGGGTGGATCACGAGGTCAAGATATTGAGACCATCCTGGTCAACATGGTGAAACCTCATCTCTACTAAAAATACAAAAATTAGCTAGGCATGGTGGCGCGTGCCTGTAGTCCCAGCTACTTGGGAGGCTAAGGCAGGAGAATTGCTTGAACCTGGGAGGCGGAGGTTTCGGTGAGCTGAGATCGCACCATTGCACTCCAGCCTGGGCAACAAGAGGGAAACTCCGTCTCAAAAAATAAATAAATAAATAAATAAATAAATAAATAAATAAATAAATAAAATCATTTTGGGGGTTTGTGTGTATGTTAATTTACTTATCAAGGCAGTCTTAGCTTTGAGGTCAGGGGATCTTTAATAAGCTTTGTTTTTGAGTAAAAAGATGAGATACAACTAGGAAGAACTGTACTCATTAAACAAAAAAACCCTAAAATTAAAAAAAAAAACAACTTTAATTTTAGCTAGTGCTACCCTGTGTCTATGAATTTCAGGACTGGAATTTTGCCAACCCCTACTTCTCTCATATGGAAATGAGAATATTATTTTTCAGCTACAATGCTTAAGAGTGGAACTGGGCTTATGCCCCAGGGCACTGAATCGATATTTATTGTCTGGGTCAATATGTTTGGGTCTTTGTTATCACTTGTAGGAGAGTCTGGTTTAGAGACATGTAGGATCAAAACACTTATTTCTAATCGAAGCAATTTTATTTCTGAACTTTTGGATATCGATTGTACCAAAGCAGGGTTAGGTCTGATTAATTGGAGTGATCTGGCTCATTCAGACAAGAAAAACTTGGATCTCTTACACATTAGACTGTTGTTTTTTAATATGTTGAACTGATGAGGAGGCAGGTGACAGCACTTCTACTGTCAGCCTCAGGGTTAGTAGCTATGCAGGTTAGGGAAATATACCTAACACGCCTGGGTCAACTAAACATTCATAATATGATCAAATTGAATTCATTCTCTTCAGTTTGAGCATTATACAACTGAATGATTTAAGACCTTTCTTGAGACTCCTTACATATCTGATTTGTGAAGACACAGGCCATATGGAGATGAACACAATAATTATACAGTGTCCTAGAAAATATTGGGGTTAAGAGCACAGGTTATAGAAGGCCTGACTTAAATCTCAACATTGCCACATAGACAAATTATTTATCCTATGTCACCTTAGTCCTTGAGAATTAAGATTTTTAAATGATTATAGCTAATCCTAGTTCAAAATCAATTGTCTAAAGAATGCGAATAGTCTGACTTTCCTCTGACCTGCATACTTAAAAGATTATTCTTGCTCATCCCATTACTGGGTAAATATCCAAAGGAATAGAAATCATTCCTTTATAAAGATGCATACACGTGTATGTGCACTACAGCACTGTTCACAATAGCAAAGAGATTGACAGGGGCTGACAGAGCACATCAATGTCCTCTGAGGCCCCATGCCCTCTTCTGGTGGCTGCCCTCCACAGCAGCTCTTCAGAGGATCCCAGCAATGAACTGTTTTAGGGAAAGTGGCTTCCTGCCCAAACTGGATGGGACACGTCGGGTGGGGGGAGAGAGCTATTTCTAAGGCCCCTCCCTGTCTCCCCAGCAATTAAAACAGACTCCTCTCTGGCCCCATGGCCTTGGTCTCAGAGAAAAAAAAATTCCAACCCAAATATCCATCAGTGATAGACCAGATAAAGAAAATGTGGTACATATACACCATGGAATAGTATGCAGTCATAAAAAAGGAAGAGATGATGTCTTTTTCAGGGATATGAATGGAGTGGAAGACATTATCCTCAGCAAACTAACACAGGAACAGAAAACCAAACACAGCATATACTCATTTATAAGTGGGAGCTGAACAATGAGAACACATGGACACAGGGAGGAGGACAACACAGATTGGAGTTTGTCAGGAGTAGCAGGGTGGGAGGAAGCGCATCAGGATAGATAGCTAATGCATGTGGGGCTAAATACCTAGGTGATGGGTTGATAGATGCAGTAAACCACCATGGCAGATGTTTACCTATGTAACAAACCTGCACATCCTGCACATGCATCCTGAAAGTTAAAATAAAATTAAAATTAAAAAACGGTCACCCTTGCTCTCTCTACTTTCTCCTACCAATTCACTGTAACATGGAGCTTCCACCCCACTGCCTCATGGTAGCTAAGGCAACTGCTGTTCTCACTACATCATCTTTTATTATTGTGAAATTTGAGACACACTTTTTTTGTCTTTGTGTTACATTTTGTAGCATTTGCCAGTCTTCTTCTTTTTTAAAAAAAATTCTCCTAATTTCTGAAACACTATTCTTGTCGAGTTTTCCTCTGATCATTCCTTCTTAGTTTTAGTCTGTCCTCTGTAAATGTTCTCCCTAAATGTTGGCAGGCATTAGAGTTCTTTCCAAGGTACTCTTATCACTTCATGTACTCTCATAAGATTTCACTTGGGCTCAGGGCTCCAATAACTGTCTCCAGTCCACACTTTTTCCTGAGTCTTTTGTCTATTGGGCAGCTGGACCTAGACACCTCACATCTTACAAACACAAATGTGAAACAGTACTCATCATTTCCTATAAAAATGTGCTCCTCTTTAAAATTCTTTTCCCAGTACATTCTCCCAGAAGCCCAAACAGAAACCTGAAATTCAGCTGTGACCTCACCTTGCCTACCTATCCCAGGACCTGTATATTCCATCTCTTTAGAATAGATAGGGTGTGTTTACTCTCCGTCTCCACTGCTACCATTTTTTAAAAGATTACTTCACCAGCCACCTAAGTGATCTGTTTGTTTCCTCATTTTCCAATACATCTCCCATTTGAAAGGACACTCTTGCCTCAGACAAATCTGTTCTGTGAATCCCCTTTTGAGTATAGAAGGTCCTCCTTCATGACTTGAACACTGACTCAGCCAACTCCTCCCTCAACAGTTGCCTCCTCTCCTACATTCCCCATTCCCACTCCACTGAACTACTTGGGGTCCTTGCCAATGAAGCATATTCTTGAAGGTCACTTTGCTGAATGCCACTTAGCACCTTTGTCCTCAATCTTATGAATAAATCCAATTTATCTTTTGATGAGTTAAAGAATAATTTGCTCTGAGAAGACGCTACCCTAACTCTCTGCTGAGCTACTATATTACTGTTTACCTTCTTTCACAGAACTTCTCACAAACTGTATATTTATTTACTAATTTAAAATTTTCCCTGAGAGGCAGAGAGAAGGCCATGATACTACTCACAATAAAGCAGTGGAATCCCTACGTTTAGTCTTCCTCAGGGGAAATAGAATCTCACTATGTACATAGACTCCATCTGGATAGCTCTGAGGTGCAACTCTGTCAAGTACAGCAAGAGAAATTGAAGCAATTATGCTTCTTGTGGTATGAGTGATAAAGTCCTTTCTGACATACAAACCTTGTGTTTTCCATAAAGCATCGATGAAACCAGTAATCAGTTGACTTAGTAGTTTGTAAAATTAGGGTCAAACCAAATCCCAGACCCAAATATTTTATTTTTAATATTTAATTTTATTTATATCCTTTCTTGAGGCAGGGTCTCACCCAGGCTGGAGTTCAATAGCGTGATCTCAGCTCACTGTAGCCTCGACCTTCTGGACTCAAGCAATCTTCACACCTCAGCCTCCCAAATAGCCAAGACTACAGGCATGGGCCAACACTCCTAGCTAATTTTGTGCATATTTTTGTACAGTCGAAGTCTCACTATGTTGCCCAGGTTAGTCTCGAACACCTAGACTCAAGCAATGCTCCCATCTCAGCCTCCCAAAGTGTTGGCATTACAGGCATCAGCTACTGTGCCTGACAAAACTAACTATGTTTTTTTAGGAAAAAGTTTTTAACTATAATCTCAACTTATTTAATATCCAATGACTATTCATGCTTTTGTCTCTTTAGCAAGCACTGGCAGTCTCTGCCTTTCAGGGAATTTACTCATTTCATTAAGTTGTTGAATTTAGCAAAACAAAATTGTTTATTTTCTTATTACACATTTTTTTTTTGTAGAAAGTGAAGTGATGCTATCTATGTCTTTACCAAAACTGGTTATCTGTTCTCTCATTTCTCCCAAAGAGATAGAAATAGTTTAAATCAGTGCTGTGGGCATTTATTTACAGCTTTAGACAAGGAACAGTCAAATTTGGAATGTAGGAAATTTGTCTCCTCTGTTCCATTTTCTGTTCATCTGTTCATGTTATGTCCTCATTCCAAGCAAGCCTGTCATTTTATACAACTATAGGTCTCATGGGTCTATTCATGAAAATTTCATGAGTGATACGTTTTCATAATCACACAAGTCATGGACAGTATGTCTGGTTTCTTAAAAACTTCGGTGAATTTATTTTTAACAATTCTATTTTCCCCTTCCATTTTACTCATTGATTCCGGGTGCTATGGGCAGAATTAGATATTGCCGAATCTTTAGGGCTTTATAGATTCACTTAAAATATATTTTATAAAATATGCCCCTTGATTCTGTTCACTGGAGAGAATATTATAAACCTAGAAATGAAGTTATGAAAATGTGTCTTGCTGCCAATTATTTTGCCAGTTTTTGCATGTAAATATGCACCTATCAATTCTGAGAAGGTACCTTATACAATTATCAAAATATTTTCATGAAATCAATACTTTTCTTCTTATTATTATTTGAGATGGTGTTTTGCTCTTGTGGCCCAGGCTGGAGTGCAATGGCATGATCTCGGCTCACTGCAACCTTTGCCTCCTGCGTTCAAGTGATTCTCCTGCCTCAGCCTCCTGAGTAGCTGGGATTACAGGCTTGCGCCACCATGCCTCGCTAATTTTTTGTATTTTTAGTAGAGATGGGGTTTCATTATGTTGCCCAGGCTGGTCTTGAACTCCTTACCGCAGGTGGTCCACTCACCTCAGCCTCCCAAAGTGCTTGGGTTACAGGCATGAGCCACTGTGTCCAGCAGAATCAGTTCTTTCCACCAGAAAAAAAAAAAAAAATCAAGCTAAATATATATGTCCCTAATAGAGAGAATGTTATCATGTGTCTTCTCCAGCTTTTCTTACTCTGTAGTCTTGATGATTGAGCAGGGAGCTCTGTTCAATGAGAACTGAGCAACATGGGAATCTTCGGAGTGATCTTAAGTTTATGATGTTTCAGGTTTGCTGTTGTTTACTACTCATTCAACTGGGTTTCAGCTTTATAAATTTTATCTGTATGTTTACTTCTGTTATATTTTTAGGTAGGTTAATATGTTTACAATTGTTTAACTTTATTTTGTGTTTTACTGTCATTTTATGGAGTTTTATATGACAGAAATGATAAATACATGTGTTTACATACTTTTTTTTCAGTAGAAATCTTCCCATAGTACTGTAATTATTACTTTATCTGTCTCTGACTAATTTAAATATCCTCTGAGAGAATATCTAGACTTACTTATTTTTGTATAATTAAAACAATAATAAAATATGAAGAATAAAATAATAGAATATAAGCAATGAAATAGTAATAAAATTTAGCCCCAGGTAAACCACCATAAGCTCTCACTAGATTATTTTAATTAACTTGTATAGTGCAAAATACAGGCACAGCTGAGAGAAGGAACTTCTTAAAGGCTGCATGGATAGGAAGTCTTCCAACAGACTGTGTTGCGCTCTAATTAAATTGTTTGGATCTGACAGGGGGTGAAAGTTTTTCTGTTCAGTTCTCATTATCCATTTTAATACATTTATTCTCAATATAAGCAACTTGCTTAGATTTGAAATAAGATTAAATCTTACCCAGAAGAAAACAGAACATGGCAGCAGAGCAAATTGCTATCATTTTATGTCAAGTAAAATAAATTTCACTTCATGATGATATGTGGAACACTATAATACATTCTCAGCACTAATATTGCCTTCTTTCCCAGGAAAAATATAAACATTCAATTCCAAGAATTGCTTTCTACCCACAAATAGTTGTTCATGAAATAATTACCTCTTCCTTTCCTCAAAATCAATGGATTGATACAGTTTCCATACAGAAGTCTTACATCCATTCGTTGCAATATTCTTTGTGTTGATCTTCATTCACTATAGAAAACCAAATTGATCATATACAGAGCATTCTTATGTACATTTATATTGACATTTATTGACTCACAGAAGAGAATCAATTTGAAGTTAAGAGCAAAATAACTGACCAGATTTCATTTTAATGCTCAATCCAAAAACAATAGTTAGCAATGCGAGGCAAGTGAATATTCTAGCTGTCGTAAAGATAAAAATCTTAATATTGACTGCCAATTATACTCTAAAATTAACATTCCTTCCATCCCTCTGTCTTTCCTTCCTTCGTTCTCCCTCTCACACATTCCCTTGAAGAAGTAATACTTAACAGATAGTAAAAAAATTAAAGTACAAAGGTATACCGTAAAAACAGGTTGATGGCTCACCACCAGCCTCTTGTCTCTCTCCCCATACACATCTTCTGGGGAGCAGCCAATTTAATGTGAATCATTCGAGATATAGTCTATGCCATACATGTGTATATACACAGATATTAAATTTTTAATTTTTCTCAAAGGTTCGCATATCACAAATACTTTTTGAACCTTCATTTTCACTTAATGATATATATTGGTGATTTTCTGTTTAGGAATATTTATGTTTAACAGCTGTGACTGCCCTTGTATAGATGTAGCAGCCTGGAACATATATCCTACTGGTGAAAATTTAGGTGGTTTTTGCTTTTATGTTACTACCAACAATGCGGTAATATATATTTAAGTATATATTCCTCGTACATAAGGGATAAATATCTGTAGAATGTGTAATTGCTGGGGAATAAAGTATGTATACTTACTATTTTGAGAGACATTTCAAATTTGCAAGTTTATAATCTCACTTAATGTATGGATGGTCATGGCTTCTCCATGTCACATGTTATTAAATTTTTACTTTTTCTGTCCTGATTGAAAAGTCTCGACTCATTTAGTTTTATTTTGCACTTCTCTGTTATAAATAGGGTCCAGCATCCTTTTGTATAAGTACCATTTAGATTTGACTTTTTATTTTCTTTACCTATTTCTCTATTGGATGGTTGATTTGTACAAGCATATTATATTAATTAAATTAGTTCTTATCTTTTGTGTTGCAAATATTTTTTTCGAATTTTTATTTATCATGTGAACTAATTTATGTTAAAATTTTTATTTTTAGGAAGTCAAATATATCTTATTTCAATAGCATCTGGTTTTTGTTTGATTGCTAAGAGAGAGAATAAGAGAGTTCAAAATGTTTCTCACATTTTCTTTTAGCAACCTTAGTAACCTCATCTACCTTTTAAAATCAACGTTATATAGAAAACGCTTTACCTGGATGTATTTGTCTCTAAAAAGTGATGTATGAGCTCAGCTGTCACTATGTCTATAATTTACTTTGAAAGGTTTTTTTTTTTTTTTTTGCACGTATAGTATGATACCACGTGTGTTACTTAGCTTATGCTATCTTGCAGACAAGCTAGTGTTACCTCGGAAACCAGAACTCCTGAGGAGTAACCACAGGCTATTCTGTTATCCCAATCTCCATCAAGCTTTGCTTTTCTAATTAGTATATTGGATATCAGAAATAGTTTTTTATTTTTAAAAATTCTGTTGAAAATTGTTACCTGCTCACTAGCTTGATGAAAACTAGAAATGCAATCTTATTGATGAAATTAAAGGTCTTTAAGATGTATGGAGAGGTCAAAAAAATTTGGAGTTATTCTCTACTCATGCATGAACAGGATTTAAGAATCCATTGAGGTCATATTTCGCACCTTTAGGGATGGAGCTAGAGCCTTGAATCTTAAAACAGTTCCGGCTCCAGCCATTGATTTAAAAGACTGGTTGATGTTGATTATATGATGCTGCTGATTATATGGGTGACAGAGTCTCTTCTCATGAATGTTGTCAGGTATAGCGCATGTGCATCTTTTAAGTAAGTTTGTGGTTACAGCACCTGAAACTTTAGTCAACTGGATTTCATCAAATTTACAGAGCAGGTCATGGATTTGTGCTGTTTGCTGTTGATTGTTCAATCAGTGTTTGTATATGCATTTGGAAACTTGCTTGCTTTCTAACCAAAGGAATACCTGACTTTGTCCATCTCCTCAAGGGTTTTCAGTGGCTACTGTTATATATACAAACTGAACTGTACATACTCAATAAACTTAAGTCAGCTGGTAACAACTTAATTCATTGCTGATAGTCATTTTCTTGCTATAATCTCATCTGCTAAGTATTATAATAATTCATATTTATTTTATTTTATTTTATTTTATTTTATTTTGAGACAGGGTCTTTGCTCTTGTATCCCAGGCTGGAGTGCAGTGGCGCAGTATGGGCTCACTGCAACCTCTGCCTCCCAGGTTCAAGTGATTCTCCTGCCTCAGCCTCCCAAGTAGCTGGGATTATAGGCAAGTGCTGCCTATAATTTTTTGTATTTTTAGTAGAGATGGGGTTTCTCCATGTTGGTCAGGCTGAGTAATTCATATTTCTCTGCTGATCTGAAAGGCTATATTTATCATATACTAAATTCCCATAGACATTTGAATCTGTTTCTGGATTGTTCATCTGTTTACTCAATCTATGCTAACATCAAATTTTTAATTTATATTTTAGCTTATTTTTAAGAATTTTCTGAGTTATTTAGTATGTTTATTTTTTCATGTAAACAAAGAATATTGTCTCCCCCAACCCCTACCATAAAGATATCCATTGGTATTCTATCTATCATCTATCTATCTATCTATCATCACTTATATAGTGCTTACTACACACTCTTAACTAATTTTCATAACAACTCCGTAGGTAGGTTTTATTATTAGTCTAGTGTTATAGGTGAGTCACAGATAAGTGAAGTAATTTAGTTGCGAACATGCTAAAATTACAAGCTAATATGGAAATCTTTATAATTTTTAGTCTTCTTAACCAAAAACAAGTAGGTATTTCCACTTACAAAAGTTTTCTCTTAATTTTTCTGTAGGCTTTATAGTTTTCTTCCTATAGATTATATACACATCTAAAGTTCATTCTTTAGTTGTAACTGCAAGTTTTTTCATCTATTATATTCTATAATGGACTGTTGCTTACATATATAAGCTCAAAACCAAAAGACTACTGATTTTTCAGTGTTAGTTTCATAACCACTTAGAGGTTAAGACTCTCTTACTATGGTTTCTTGAAGTACAATGTTATTATCTACAAATAATATATTTGCTTTCTTCTTTCCATTTTCTTGTCTTTCTGGTACCTAATTAAGTCAGCTAGCACACCCAAAACTATATTAAATGTTCTTTGAGTGGGAAATCTCATTGTATGATTTTAGCTTGTTTTGAGAGCACCTTAAGAAGAATACTCTTAGATATTTGTAGGTCTTCTCACTACATTCTGTATAACCCAATTGCATGGTATTTATGTTTTGTTTGTTTGTTTGCCTGTTTTAGGATTGTAATTCCAGAACCTTTGGGACATACATACATGCTGATCAAACGTTTACTGAATGCAGAAGTCAGTGAATGGATGAATAAATGGCATAGTTACTTAAGGAAAGTATGTACTGTCATTTTTTTCATTAATCTCTTCATTAATTAATTTTCATTAATTAAACTTCTTTTTTTTTTTTTGTCAGACTTTTTGCCCTCAATGTTCTTTTGTTTTTACAGTTTTTATGTTTTTCCCACTGTCTGGAATCTAATTGTCGATTTTCCAAAGACCTCACCAACCTGATTTTGTTCTACCTATCCAAACCTAATTTGTACCATTCTCCCAAATGGTACAAATGTTTCTGTTCTCTGTGAGGCCTATCTCTACTGTCCCATACAAAAACACACTAGACTCATTCCCATTTTAATGTCTTCATTCTGGGTTCCCTTTTTGGCTTCCCATTATTCTCCACATCACTTTGAATAGCCAAATTCTACCCATTCTTCATACTTTAAGATCAAAAGCTGTCTCTCTCATAAGCATTCTCAATTTTCCCAGCATTTATTCTCATGCCTTTTTTGAAACATCTACAACATTTGTGGTCAATACTGGATACCCTAGTAGGTAATTATGTACTGTTTTGTATTGCTGTCAGTGATTCATGACTGTCCATCTCACTACCTAAATTAAATGCTTGAAGACAGTGGTCTTAGGCTGTCCAGTATCCCCCCAGCGTCTTGCACAATGCTTAGCACGGAGGAGAGTGGAGCCTACAAATTAGCACCCATAAATAAATAAAGCCCATAACCTTAATTTTCTTGGCCAAAAATATCTCTTGAAAAATTGAATATGAATGCCTTAGGCTGTACATGTTTTCTTCTCTTAATCACAGCTTCTCTATCTCTATCTGATTTACACTTCATTTATACATTTATGTTACCTGCATGGCCTTGTAGACAAATTTGTTTGTGATACTACAGGGTTTCAGTATGGATTGGCTGAAAGATTCCTCCACAAGAGGTAAGATACAGTGTTAGTTAGATAAGCATAAACCACAGCTGATTACTGTCTCCAATTAAGAAATTAGGTTGGGAGATGAGGGTGCTCTGGCTCTCCTGCTTAAGTACCAGTACAAAAAAGCTTAGGATTAACATCTTAGCTGCAACGGAGTCTGGGAGACTGCATGATTTTTATGGGACACACTGATACTTTGAAGAAAGATGGGAATCTTTATTTAAAAAAGAGAAAATAGATATTGCGTGAGCAACAGCAGTGTCAGCCACACATAACTTTTTAAAGAGTAAAAACCAGAAAAAAAAAACACACAGGATTGAGTTTAATATCTTCAGGATCATTAGAATTTGCCTAGTTATCTGTATAGACAAAGAAAAAAATGAAAATGTGGTGATTAATTGATACATTCAGAGAACCTGTTTAAGAATGAACACTGAAATATGGCTTTCTAAACCTCTGAATTTTTGGAATAATTCAGACCATCTTATAAGAACCTGTGATATCATTCTCATAATTTATATGTCAAATATATCAAATGCTATTCAAATAAACAAAAACTATAAAATATATGAAATTCAAAATATACCAAAATAACACCTGAGTATACAGTGT